TGGCAAGGAAATTCAATGGGGCTGCTAATTTTTCAAAGTTGGGTAACCCATTTTTTTGAATTTAAGAAATGATTAATTACATTTTAGTCATTGCACTTTAGGGTATTTTCAAAGATTAGTCTCTAAGCTTCAACTATAAATACCTTAGCTCATTTAGCTTCAAAATTATCCCAAATCCCAAATCATTTTCTTTCTCCCAATACTAGAGAGCTTTCTTGTGAGTAATGAGTATTTTGTAAACACCTTTAAATTTTCTCTCTTAGTAAAATATATGCAGCAGTCCGTATACGCAAGCAAAATTGGCTTAACTCCATTATCAATTTCGGGTATTATTTTTTCGCTTTTATTTCGCATTCTCACTAATCTGGTTATAGGGAAATTACTCGTACTCGTTTTATTTCCCAACAACTGGTAATCAGAGCCTTTGGTTGTAAATTTTATCAATTTTTTGGTAGGTTACTATTTATTACTATTCACGTGAATAGTGAAATTTTGTCGGCGATACGAATTTGTCGACGGAGGTGTTCTAATTCACGGTAGTTCGCAAGAATTGTCAGAAACGATCCAAACGAAGCCAGATTCGAGTAGGAGCGATGGTTGCAGACGAAGGGAATGTGAAAATTGAAAAGTTCGATGGTGCAGACTTTGACTTTTGGAAGATTCAGATCGAAGATTTTCTGTACCAGAAAAATCTATATCAACCCCTCTCAGGAAAGTAACCAGAGGGCATGAAAAATCAAGACTGGGCTCTTCTCGACAGACAAGCCATAGGAGTTATTCGACTGACGTTATCCCATAATGTTGCTTTTAACATAGCAAATGAAAAGACCACGGCGGGTCTTATGACGGCTCTCTTCAGTATGTATGAGAAGCCATCTGCCTCAAACAATGTTCATTTGATGAGGTGATTATTCAATTTGCAGATGACGGAAGGGGAATCAATAGCTCAACACCTAAACGAGCTCAAGACAATCACAACCCAGTTGAGTTCAGTGGAAAATGAATTCGATGATGAAGTTCGAGCTTTAATTCTCTTATCATCTCTACCAAACAATTGGAATGCTATTGTTACAGCACTCAGCAGCTCGTCGGGAAACAACAAATTAAAATTCGACGATGTTCAGGATCTGGTATTAAGTGAAGAAATTTGACGGAGAGAATCGGTGAAGCTTCAACCTCTTCAGCCTTGCACACGGAGTCCAGAGGGAGAACTTCAGAAAGAAATTCAAATCGTGGTAGATCCAAATCCAGAACGGGAAAATCAAGAATGGGAAAAAAGATTTTACCTGTTATAATTGCGACAAAAAGGGCCACTTTAAAAGAGATTGCCGAGCACCGAAGAAAAATACCGGCGCACTGGAATCGGCCAACGTGACAGAGGAGACATGTGATACCATGATTCTAAGCGTCAACAATCTGATTGAATCATGAATCTTGGATTCAGGGGCATATTTTCACTCCACCCAATGCCGATAAATCATGGAGAACTATGTCAGTGGTGATTTTGAGAAGGTTTATCTAGCTGATGATGAAACCTTGAAGATCATCGGAAAATAAGACATCCGACTAAAGCTGACAAACCAGACCACCTGGAAGCTTACAGGAGTGAGACATATTCTTGGCCTCAAAAGAAATCTTATTTCTGTAGACAGCTTGATGGAGAATGATATAGCACAACCTTTTCAGGCTGTGAATGGAAGATTACCAAAGGTGCACTCGTCATTGCTCGTGGTAAGAAGACTGTTACTCTCTATGTAACCTCAAACTTAGAGAATATCATTACTGTAGCAGATGCTGATGGAAAATCAAACCTATGGCACGAAAAGCTTGGCCATATGAGCGAGAAAGAGATGAAGACACTTTTGTCAAAAGGGAAGCTGTCGGATCTAAAGAGTGTAGATGTCAGACTATGCGAGGATTGCATCTTTGGCAAACAAAAAAATGTCAGCTTTGCAAAGATTGGTAAGACACCCAAGGCTAAAAAGTTAGAGTTGGTTCATACTGATGTATGGGGACCATCTTCAGTTCCATCTCTTGCAGGCTCATTATATTATATCACCTTCATCGAATGATTCTACAAGGAAGGTGTGGGTTTATTTTCTAAAGAAGAAATCAGAAGTCTTTGATACCTTCAGAAAATGGAAGGTCATGGTGGAAAATGAGACTGGTCTGAAAGTCAAGCGGTTGAGGTCTGACAATGGAGGAGAGTATAGAAACATAAGATTCAGAGATTTCTGCGCAAACAATGAGATCAAGACGGAGACAACAGTTCCCATGACAACGCAGCAGAATGGCGTAGCAGAGCGCATGAACAAAACTCTGAATGAACGTGCCAGAAGCATGAGGATACATGCTGGATTGCCCAAATTTCTATGGGTTGAAGCTATCAACACTGCAGCTTACCTGATCAACCATGGGCCCTTAGTTCCTTTGGATGGCATAATACCAGAAGAAGTTTGGAGCTAGAAAGAAATAAATCTTTCACACTTAAGAGTGTTTGGTTGTATTTCTTATGTACACATAGACTCTGTTGAAAGAAGTAAACTTGATGCTAAGTCCAACAAATGTGCCTTTGTTGGTTATGGCTTTGATGAGTTCGGTTACCGGTTTTGGGACTATAAAAATCGGAAGATCATCAGAAGCAGAGATGTCATTTTCAGTGAGAATGTGATGTACAAAGACATGTCAACTGTAGAATCAAGCAGCTCCAATACCAAAGCTAAAACAAATGAATTTGCTGAGTTCGAGGAGATTTCTGAAAATGATGTTCAGATCAGTCCTGAAGCAGTTCAAGAAGAACCAGGCACACCGGAACTAAGACGCTCCTCCAGAATTCCTAAACCAACCCAACATTATTCGCCTTTTTTGCACTACTTGTTGTTGGCTGACAATGGTGAACCAGAGTGCTATGATGAAGCAATGCAGGTGGAGGTTTCAATTAAGTGGGAGTCTTCCATGAAAGATGACATGGATTCGCTTATGTCAAATCATACGTGGGAATTAGCTGAATTACCACCATGCAAGAAAGCTCTCCATAACAAGTGGATCTACAGGATCAAAGAAGAGCACGATGGAAGCAAACGCTACAAAGTAAGATTGGTTGTCAAAGGTTTTTAGCAAAAGGAATGTATTGACTATAATGAAATTCTCTCCAGTTGTAAAACTGTCTACAATTAGACTGGTGTTGAAAATTGTAGCTGTTGAAAATTGTAGCTGCAGAAAATTTATATCTTGAGCAGTTAGATGTAAAGACAACTTTTCTTCATGGTGATTTGGAGGAATAAATCTATATGAGGCAGTCAGAAGGCTTCATAGAGGCAAGCAAGAAAAATCTGGTATGCAGGTTGAAGAAGAGCTTGTATGGTTTAAAACAAACTCCTAGACAATAGTTCAAAAAGTTCGATAGTTTCATGAGTAGCAATAGTTTTACCAGATGCCAAGCAGATCATTGTTGTTACATCAAGAGGTTTGACAACAACTTCATTATTTTATTATTGTACGTTGATGACATGCTCGTTGTAGGCTCAGACATGCAAGAGATTATACACTTTAAGCAAAAATTGTCGAAGCAGTTTGCTATGAAGGATCTGGGCGCTGCAAAACAGATTCTTGGGATGAGGATTAAGAGAGACACAAAGTCGGGGACTTTGATGTTATCACAGGCTGAGTACATCAACAAAATACTCTTCAGGTTCAACATGCAAGATGTTAAACCAGTAAGTACACCTTTAGGTGTTCATTTCAGACTTTCCAAAGAACAGTCACCAAAGACGGAGGAAAAACGTGCACACATGGTGAAGGTGCCGTATGCCTCAGCAATAGGAAGTCTGATGTATGCCTTAGCAATTGGAAGTCTGATGTATGCCATGGTTTGTACCAGACCAGATATTGCTCATGTAGTGGGAGCTGTTAGCAGATACATGAATAATCCGGGCAAGATACACTGGGAAGCAGTTAAATGGATCCTCAGATATTTGCGGAGTACTACAAACAAAACACTTTGTTTTAAAGGTGGAGATACGATACTGACAGGTTATTTAGATGCTGACTTAGCCGGAAATGTCGACATCAGAAGAAATACTACAGGGTATGTCTATACTCTAGGAGGAACTGAGTGAGTTGGGTTTCTCAACTACAGAAGATAGTTGCTCTCTCCACAACTGAAGCAGAATATGTCGTTGTTACGGAAGCAATAAAGGAGATTGTCTGGCTTCAAAGTTTTTTGGAAGAGTTAGGCAAGAAACAAGAAAACAATGTTTTGTATTGCGACAGTCAAAGTGCTATCCATCTAGCAAAGAATCCGTCTTTTCATTTCAGAACGAAGCACATACAATTGCGATATCATTTTATCCGATCTCTTTTAGAAGATGGGATTTTGAAACTTGAAAAGATTAGTGGATCTCAAAATCCGACAGACATGTTGACAAAGACGGTGACTACGGACAAACTGAAGTTGTGTTCAGCTTCAGTTAGCATGCTAGAATAACAAGACCAGAAATGTTGCTGCATCGATCGAGGTGTGAAGACATATTAAAATCAGTCTTCAAGTGGGAGATTGTTGAAAGTAAAAAAACACGTGGGGCGGCTGGCAAGGAAATTCAATGGGGCTGTTAATTTTTCAAAGTTAGGCAGCCCATTTTTTTGAATTTAAGAAATGATTAATTACATTTTTGTCATTGCACTTTAGAGTATTTCCAAAGATTAGTCTTTAAGCTTCAACTATAAATACCCTAGCTCATTTAGCTTCAAAATTATCCCAAATCCCAAATCATTTTCTTTCTCCCAATACTAGAGAGCTTTCTTGTGAGTAGTGAGTGTTTTGTAAACACCTGTAAATTTTCTCTCTTAGTAAAAGATCTGCAGTAGTCCGGAGACGTAAGCAAAATTGGCTGAACTCCGTTATCAATTTCGGGTATTATTTTTCCGATTTTATTTCGCATTCTCACTAATCTGGTTATATGGAAATTACTCGTACTCGTTTTATTTCCCAACACGTGGTGGTGTTGGATTTCCATCGGGCCTCAAATGGTCTTTTATGCCAAAAGTATCTGATGGTCACCCTTCATATCTTGTTGTCAATGCTGATGAAAGTGAACCTGAAATCTGTAAAGACAAGGAAATCATGCGCCAAGTCCACAAATTATTGGACGGCTGTCTGATCGCTGGAGTTGGGATGAGAGCTTCAGCTGCTTATATCTACATCAGGGGTGAATATGTGAATGAACGTAAGAACCTTGAAAGAGCTAGAAAAGAAGCGTACGAAGCTGGACTGTTGGGCAAAAATGCATGTGCTTCTGGTTATGATTTTGATGTTCACATACATTTTGGTGCTGGTGCTTCTTTTGTGGTGAATAAACAACATTTCTGGAGAGCCTTGAAGGAAAACAAGGGAAACCAAGATTGGAGCCTCCTTTCCCTGCTAATGCAGGATTATATGGCTGTCCAACTACAGTCACAAATGTTGGAGACAGTGGCTGTTTCTCCCACAATATTGAGGCGTGGTCCTGAGTGGTTTTCCAGTTTTGGGAGGAAGAATAATTCTGGGACAAAATTGTTTTGTGTCTGAGGCCATGTCAACAAGCCTTGCACAGTTGAGGAAGAGATGAGTATACCACCTAAGGAGTTGATAGAAAGGCACTTTGGAGGTGTCAGAGGTGGATGGGACAATTTACATGCAGTAATATCAGGAGGTTCGTCTGTTCCACTTTTACCTAAAAACATCTGTGATGATGTCCTAATGGATTACGATGCACTCAAGGCTGACCAGTCAGGACTGGGAACTTCTGCAGTAATTGTGATGGATAAATCAACGGATGTTGTAGATGCAATCGCAAGGTCTTCTTACTTCTATAAGCACGAGAGTTGTGGACAATGCACACCCTGCAGGGAAGGGACAGGATGGCTATGGCTGATCATGGAAAGAATGAAAGTTGGGAATGCAAAAATTGGAAGAGATTGACATGCTTCAGGAGGTGACTAAGCAGATTGAAGGGCACACAATTTAGGCCTGAGCTCGAGAGAAGGATTAGAGAGCGTGCAGAAAGGGAGTTGCTGGAGGCTTCTGCTTAGTTTCTTCTCAGGTTGCTTCTTGCACCTTTTTGACTTTTATTTTTTGGTTCACTTCTTCCTTCCAAAATATGTACTCTTAGCGTGCATGATATGATGGCATTTACAATTATCAATTTCCGTTTTGACATGTGAATGTTGGTTTCTATGGAACTATGTAAATCCATTGGCCAACTTCTTGGTCTAACATACATATTATGCTTGCTTTCACAACACACTGTATCCTGCCACGCACATGAATGATTGAGAATTAACTTGCATCTTTTACTGTTCTCAAGGAGTTCATTTTAGTTTTCCCTTCACATCATCTGGCAGAGGCAAGCCGACCAGTAGTTGCCTGGTCATGTTAGAAATGGTCAAAAGAACCTTACATATTTTCTTTAAAAAGATAAAAGTTAATAAGAGAGTAGAGAGAAAAATGACATTTAATTGTGTTTCCAAATCAAGTTTAGTTTATTTTTAAGTGGAAAGTGGCATATAGACTGTGCATCCTTGGTCTAAAATGCATAACATTTGGTTCCCTCTTTTTAAACCATGGAAATGAGTAGGATAGTATATATAATGAGTTATCAACTGTTGTCTCATGCTTTGCATATTCTTACAGCAATTGTTACTATGCCATCTGAAGTTTTTTTTGACAAGCTTCATGCTATTTAGGGGATTCTCTGTTTCAAATGACAATTATGGAATAAAGTTTAAGTACCCAAAACGTGGAGCATTGCTGACTCAGGCATAGGGTGGTCGGGTTGTGTTTTATTTGTTTTTTTTTTTTCACAAGCACTTGTGTTAAAAACATTTCACTGTTATTAGAAAATAATGATGTTTCTCCTAGCATTCACCACATTTCCCTTTGTTTTTTTAGCCCTTTTGATTGACATAGTTGATATCTCTATTCATTTTTATAAAAAAAAAATTGAATATACAATGATGTCTGTATTTTGCTATGATCATGAATGTCATTTATCTGGTAACTAGCATACGGGAAAAAATAAATGATTTTATAATAAGTGTCGGTTGTGAAAATTTTGAAGTCAAGGTTACAAACGAACTGTAAGATTTTTGAGTTTGAGCTTAACCTGAAACTCCCCGTTCGAAATCAATCCGAGGATTCTTTTTAAGTTTGAACTTAATTTGAGATCATAATCGTAGTTGGACTCCCTCAAAGCACGCACCCACAATTTATTAACATTTGCAATCGGTTGGAAGCTTAGCTTTGTTAGGAGAGCCTTGTTGAAAAGATCAAGACCCTCGAGTTCAATCCTTCAAGCTCAACGGCCTTTTGTAAACCATTCTAATTGATAAGGTGTACGTACATCTTATTTTATTTGTGACACCCCAAATAAAATTTTAGATTATCTTTTTTCGTTATTTTACAAACACTTTTCGACATCTAAGCTATTTACGACCTGTAAATTTAAATCGTCTGATGTATTACCTTAGCAAGTGTTGTTCTATCCGTTGACGACAAAACTTTGACTACCCAATTAGAGAGCCTTATTTTAGTTGTGTATTATTCAAATTTAATATAATTTACTATTGACACAATAAATCCAACTTGCCATAGAATAGGTGCACAACATTTAAAAGTTTAAGTATACTTCATGTTTAATCTAAATTAGTATTTAACTTTCAAATTGATAATTAAATTAATAGAAAAATATAATCAAAATGATATTCAGAATTTAAAATTTTAAACAAAATATTTTAAAATATAATAACCAATTTAAAATTTGGACCATAATCAAGAGTTGATACAATTAACTATTCTTTCAACTATAAATCAAAAGAGTAGGACTAGAAAATTAATAGACACGATACTAATATTATATATTTAATAAACACAATAATAATCTGATTGAATCATCCGGTCAAACTTTTTAGGATATTTTTTCTTAATATATTAAAAAATAATTTATATTTTTAATCTCACTATTAATAGTATAATAAAAGATGTATTGAAACAAAAAAGATATGTTAAAAAGGTTAAAATTGGGTGGTGGATTGGTGTGATGTTGAGAGTAATAAATCAAACAAAAGATGTCGTTATTATTGTTGTCCTATTCAATTATTTTTATTTATTATGAGCCACCAAGGAGCCGTCCTCTTTTATTTGTTCCAAATAATCTAATAATCAACCTTCTAATCTTTATTTGTTTATGAATTAGTTGGAGCGTTGAAAATGAGATTAGGTATATCCGAATTTTAGCTTTTTTCCATTGTAGATGGCGCCTTGTTGAAAATAATCTAATAAAGTTTCGAGAATTATACATATCGAGAAACACGCTTTTTTTGACTAACACAATATTTGTGTACCTTAAATAGGATCATATCATGAATCCACATTTGAGTAACATACCCCTATAATTATAAGAATTATTAATGTCACCCAAATCCTTTTATTTTTCGAACTAAGTTTTATTATTGTATTTAACATGTGCAAATGTAGATAGAGATACATTCTTTTATTAATGTGAGATGATTACAAGGTAATATGTGATCGAAAGATTCAATTATTTAATAATATATTAAAAAATTCCTACAAATGTAATGTTCGAACTTGAGATCTCTAAAAATAATAATAATCTTTATAATTATTAAAATTGTTTGGTTCGTGCGCAAATACAATTCTTTAAATCTAAAAAACTAAGTCTTTAAGTGAATATGTGAGTATTTATGTGAACTCATAAAAAATAAATAAAAAAATAAAAATTCATTGTTTCTACATGTAACTAGAATTTGAAACTTATGAATAGTATAGGAACTGATAGCATAAATTTACCATGTAGAAACCTCTCATCTCCTAAAATTGCACATTAGCCATCGCGTCGTCTCTTCCCTTTTTCAACCACATTATTCAAAGTTCAGACCCATTGCTATTCAAAATAATAACTTTTTTTATTTATAAAAAAAGTCGTATTCATTTCTTGTTTGATTCCTCATCATCTACCTAAAACTTTCTCTACTGTTACCCTTTCTCCTCTAAGTACATTCCCAATCTCTCTTTTTTCCTGGGAATATCCAATATTCTGTCTGCAACTTTATTTTCCCAGAGTTCAAATATGTTTTCATGAATTGCTTGTCTTTTTGTCTATCTGATTCATAGTCCCGAGTGTAATGATGTTTGCATGAAATGGGTTGCTTCTCTTTCCTCTCCCTGATTCATAGGTTCATTGCCATCTTTGTTTGATTGCAACTGACATAATATTATAAACGTATTTTTTTTTATGAAATTAAAGGGTTCAATGTGTACTCTCACAATTTCTTTTGTTTGAGCATCAAGTGTCGGTCGTTTACTTGTTTTTTTCTCGGATTTTAAAATATTTTCTTTCCACTGGCTGTTTGCAGGTAGAGATTCTCTTCATTTTTTTATGTACATTAATAGTTTTCGTTAGCTGAATAAACGTTGTTAATCCTTTTTTTTCTCTACAGATCATATCAGTCAAGATTGAAAATTTTGTTTCTTTGAAGTTCCAGCAATGGTTCTTGGCCTAAGAACTAAGACCAGAAAAAGCAGCTTACATCAGCTTGTTTACACTGTAAATGTAAAGGAGATTAATCCTTGGTCACCACTGCGATCAGCTCAATCTGTTTTGCTTCAATGGGAAAATGGTGATCAGAGCTCTGGGGTCTTAACTTCTGCCATTGATAATGGTAAGATCGAGTTCAATGAATCTTTCGAACTTCGATTAACTTTAGAAGCATCCCGTAAGAGTACGAATCGTGAGAGTTTCATTAAGAACTGTTTAGAGTTTCACTTGTATGAACCTAAGAAAGATAAGGCTTCTAAAGGTCAACTTTTGGGATCTGCAATTGTAAACCTTGCTGATTATGGTATTATCAAGGAAACCACATCCATTAGCATTCCTTTTACCTTGAAGAGGAGTTCTAGGAACATAGAACAGCCGATTCTTTATCTTAACATCCGGCAATTCGATAAAGATAGCCCGAGTTCATCAACTAAAGGCGGCAGCTTGTTGAAAGAAGTGTCACTAGACAAGGATGGGAGTGAATCTGTTTCTGAATCCATAAATGAAGGAAATGACAAGGAAACTGAGATTGCTTATTTTACGGATGAAGATGATGATGATCTTTCCTCACGGTCATCCCAGACTATTTCTTCGTCTGTTTTTGATCATTCTAGAGATTCACATATTCAACATGATGAGGTACTTAAGTTCAACATTCTGCTTTTGTGCTTTGTTTCCATTTTCATTGAATTGTCTCTTTAACTGCTGTTGTCTTTGAAATTTGAATTTGGGTCAATGATTGGATTGGTTTTGTGATAATTGGCTTAGCAGACTCTGATCTTTAGGCATTGCAAATGCTATTGTTAATTGGAATGCAATTTCAACTTGGGACCTTTTCTAAGGTAAGGCATGGCTGGCGATTAGGCCATGCCTTGGTCTGAAACCTGATAGGAGAGAAATCAACTGAGCTAATATTTACAGTCATTAATTTGTGGATACAAATAATACGATCCCTCTTTAACCATTACACGAGCATAGCTATTAGTTTGGAGCATGCACCCGATGACAGTTTCTTATCTATGACTTCCAGCATGATTCTGTCCTAGGAGGTCTGTCGTAGTTCTGGTTATTTTGGTGGCTGTCAATGCAATCTTAGCAAAGCTAGTATTTCAAATGTTTAATTGCGTGACATTATCGATTACAGAATGGATCAGAATCAACCACTGGTGGGATTGAAAACCTTGGGGTCACTCTTCCCTCTGGTGGAACACACGCAAACTCAGGGATAAGTCCAGCCGTTGAAGCATTCAAACATGTAAATAGGAGGACTAATATCTCATCTTTGATAGACTTGCCCTCTGATCCCAGGAATCCTGTAACTAATCCCATGGCTAAAGTTGCATCCTCGAAGACGAGTGTTACCATTCCAGTAGATACGAACTTAGACCATGTAAAGGATACAGATTTGTCCTCCAACCCGGAGAATCCTGTAACTTATCCTTCTGAAGTTGCATCTTCCGAGACGAGTGTTACCATTTTAGTAGATACGAACATAGACCGTGTAAAAGATAAAGATTTTTCCTCCAACCCCAAAAATCCTCTAACTTATCCGGCTAAAGTTGCATCTTCAGAGACAAGTGTTACTATTACAGTTGATACGAACTTAGACAATGTAAAGGAAACAGATCTGTCCTCCAACCCCAAGAATCATGTAACTTATCCAGCTAAGGTTGCATCTTCAGAGATGAGTGTTGCCATTCCAGTTGATACAAACTTAGACCATGTAAAAGATAAAGATTTGTCCTTGAACCCCGATAATTCATTAACTTATCCCATGGCTGAAGTCGCATCCTCAGAGGCGAGTGTTACCATTCCAGTAGATATGAACTTAGACAATGTAACCCCTACCAAAAGAGAGGGTGACAGAAAAGCATGGAGGCATGATCAAAGCCATGTAAACAGATCTTTAAGTAGCATTTCACATGTTGGTCATTGGAAGGGGAATGAGGAGAAAACGCTGTGGGAAGATGAGCTAGATAGCCAGATTTTGAATGCTGATGAATATTCTCTGCAAGACAGATTAGGTTTTATACCAACACAGGATTCTACTGGAAAGAAAATTACTTCGAGGAGTAATACTTTTCCATCCTTCTTGGAAACAACTGAAGTCAAAGGTGGTTTTGTTGCAAATAATAGACAAAAGCATGTGGCACCTCCTCAGTTGCATTTTGACAAAGCTAAGAGTAATGGAGTGACAAAGAAAATTCAGTTCGCAGAGAAGGCAAAAGAAAATGGTATTCCTGAGGATATTCCAAATGACAACACAAGTTATATGCATAGTGAAAGGGAAGAAACCACAAATACTCAGTTCATGGAGAAGGCAAAGGAACCTGACATTCCTGAAAAGATGCATAACGGTTCTACTAATGACACAAGTAACGAAAGTGAAGAAAATGCAAATAGCTTTTCCATCGGCAAAGTTGAATTGGAGTCCAAAATTGAAATGCTTGAAGAAGAATTGAGAGAAGCTGCTGTTGTTGAGGCTAGTCTTTATTCTGTAATTGCAGAGCATGGGGGTTCTACAAACAAGGTTCATGCTCCAGCTAGACGACTTTCTAGATTTTATATTCATGCTTGCAGAACAGGTAACTCAGGTAAGAGGGCAAGTGCAGCAAGGGCTGCTGTTTCAGGATTGGTTTTAGTCTCTAAAGCATGCGGAAATGATGTTCCAAGGTGTGCTCTAAAACTCTGTAATTTATTTATTTATTTTTAAGTTAGAAAATGAAACTGGCAGGTTTTAGCTTCTGTCGTTTCTATTATCAAATATGTTAGTTTGCACTTTGCTTTTCATGGTTTAGAAAAGAAAACGTATCTATGTTCTCGTACCTACTTGCATCTTTGTTTCCTTATAATTTTCCTTTCATTTATTGAAATACTTCTCTCTGTCGATTTGCCCCGTTTGATCATTCCATTTCTGTTCTTTATAGGTTAACATTCTGGTTTTCAAATTCAATTGTATTGAGAGCAATTGTTAGCCATGCTATTAGGGAAATGGTGTTTGAGGACACCACTCATCCACAAGAGGAAAGCGATTCAACAAAAAGTTCTAATGATTGGGAGGACCCTCAAACATTTTTACTTGCATTGGAAAAGTTCGAAGCTTGGATCTTCTCCAGAATAATCGAGTCTGTCTGGTGGCAGGTCAATCCTTTTCTTTAAAAGCTTATGCAGCATATCTTCGTCTGAGTTCATATCTGACACTATTTCTTCTTATATACTTTCCAGACTTTGACTCCACATATGCAGTCTGATGCAGCAAAGAGCTCAAGCTCAAGGAAAACATCAACCAGAAGATACGGATTAGGAGATCAACAGCAGGGGAATTTTTCGGTCGAGCTTTGGAAGAAGGCTTTTAAAGATGCCTGTGAGAGGCTTTGTCCAATTCGAGCATGTGGACATGAATGTGGTTGTTTATCCGTGTTAGCTAAATTGGTATTATGATACGTTATATATTATAGTTTCTTTTAATGTATGCATAAAAAACTTGGCCTCGGAGTCTACGCTTCTTCATGTTCATAATGTCTATTTGTAATATGATATGATCACACCCTTGTTTCTATTATTTTAAGGATCTGATTGTTAATACTGTTGACATGCAAATTTGACCTTAGCATTGTTTTCTGTTCCATGATTAGGTCATGGAGCAACTGGTGGGTAGATTGGATGTTGCAATGTTCAACGCCATTCTTCGTGAATCAGCCGACGAAATGCCAACAGATCCTGTTTCCGATCCGATATTTGATTCGAAGGTTCTCCCTATTCCTGCGGGCAAATCAAGCTTCGGGGCCGGTGTACAACTAAAAAATGCTGTGAGTAATTGGTTGCTCTCTTTGTTGAGCTACTTTAGCTCTCTCTATGCAGTTACGGATCTTTGTCAAATTTCTTATTTGCTGGAGACAGTTAACTCTTTCTATTAATATGCATGAAGGATTGAGATAGGCTTCAAATATGCTTCAGAGAAGTTGCTTTAATAATGAACAAAGTATGCAAGAGGTTATTATGAGTATGGCATTCCACTAAAAGCTTCTTCTGTGTTAGCAGATTGGAAACTGGTCAAGATGGCTAACTGATCTATTCGGTATTGATGATAATGACGTTCATGATGATAGCAATGAAGTTGGTAATGACAAAAATGCTGGGTATGAGGCTTCCTTCAAGACCTTTTGTCTCCTTAATGCATTGAGTGATCTCATGATGCTTCCACCCGATACGCTTGCCGATCCATCCACACGGAAAGAGGTATAGTTCTGGCATTATATATATGTGTGTATATATAGTATTGTTACTATTGTGTATATACCTCATCCCTTTGCTGCTTCTGTATACATATCTGTTAAATCTCATTTCCCTTCAAATTTTGTTGTTGTAGCTATGCCCCAAGTTCGGTGCACCACTGATCATCAGGGTTCTTAACAATTTTGTGCCAGATGAGTTCAACCCGAACCCAATTCCGGAGGCAGTTTTTGAAGCATTAGAGGAGGTATGTCATGAGATATAGCACCCTCGGAAAAAAAAGTTTGCATAAAATGAACTTTCCACTTCATTTGTCACCTTGGATTCTTCCATGTTTATGGTGCCGGACTTTAAATTTTCCTGACTGATATGTTTTCTCATATTCAGTATATTTCCGAGGCCGTGGATGAGTCCATCACAAACTTTCCATGTATGGCTAATCCGACGGTCTACTCACCACCTTCGGCGGCTTCCCTAACAGGCATTATCGGAGAGATAGGAAGTCAAGCCTTGCAAAGGAGTAGATCATCAGTGCTTAGAAAATCATACACCAGTGACGATGAGCTTGATGAGTTGGATTCACCCATCAGTTCGATCATTATCGTGAACACCCGCGATTCAACCACTTCAAAAGGATCCAATTGGATGAGAACTGGAAATGGAGGGCGGAAAGTTGTTCGATATCAGCTAATCCGAGAGATATGGAAGGATGGTGAATGATGTATTTTTTATGTTTGAACCCCTTGTTCTTCACTGAAGGTGGTTTTTGTGTATGTAGGCTGTTGTATTAAGTTGTTGGAGTTGAGCAGATAATGGTATTTTGTTTTTCTTCATTGTCTATTGTAAACACCAATTTTGTCCCCCACCTTGATAAATCTGCACCAACAAATCCCAACAAAAGTCAAAAAAGAAAAAACAAAATCTCACCTAAATTTTACCTAAGCCCATCAGCATCCCACCGAAAATAAAACATGCTCAATCAACCATAAATCAAGGAGGAAAAACAGAGAAGGAAGAAGGCATTCTGGGGCCTTAAAACTGAAGGGACTCGAACAGAGAGAAGGGGATACAGAGATTGAGAGGGGAGGTTGGCTTGTAAATCGATCAGGGAGGAGAAAAAAGAAAGAAGGGAGAGGGTTCTCACGCAGATTCATTGGCTAAGACCCTCTTGGTTTGTGTTATTTTAATCATTAATGAAGTTTTCATTATTTTCATTTTGAGCCTATTAGTTATTGATAATTTTAATTTTATCCTTACTTGTTTATATGAATAATTATGCTTATATTTAAGATCTAACTATCTTACTTTAATTTATTGATGTTTTAGTATTGTAAGTTTTTTTTATCAATTTATTTTAATTTTTTTATATTATTTGATTTTGATCATTTTATAATTACGGGTGTGTATTTTATTTAAATCTAGAATATTGTTTTGTGAGTTATTTTCATTGTTAGTATATATATATATTATTTGATATTTAATTATTACCCTGATTTGTTGTTGATTTTGTAATTTGGAATTACAAGTTATTATTAATATCCTTTAGCATTTTTAATCACCGAAAAATAAAAATAAAATAAAATAACCCATTAGTAACCATCTCGTTTCATGCTTCATTCTTTGTCTTTGCTTTGCTTTGCTTTCCATGTAAGCTCCTGTTGGACTTAGCTTGCTTATATACTGTTCTTTAGCACATGTATTATTCAATTGCAGTGTAATTATATTTTGGTCTTTTGCCTCTTGTTATAAACTATAATTCGTTGGAATTTTTTTATTGATTTTGTTATGGGTAATTAATTTTATTTGTAACCTTGTTTAAAGTTTCCATATTATCATTTGTGTTTTTTTACATATATACGCATATTCGAATATATATATATATATATGACTTATATTTTATAGTATATATATATATATTAATGTCTTATAGTTTGTATATAGTAATGTATTTTATACATTTTTATTATATACAATTACTAAACATTTATATGTTTTTCTACATATTGAGTAGTTATATACATATATAATATATTCTCATTTTTATGATTATGTATATATTTATTTACCATATTTTGAGCTTCATATACTCATGTATGTATTATTTATAACTAATATTTTTGAAAAATCACAAAGTACTCATTTTACTTACTAATATGTTTATTATCACTTATCTGAATATTTTTAAGAACATGTATTTGTATAACAGAGAGTGGAAAGTATATAGAAATAGTACAATATGATATGACGTTTTAACGAAATGACAATATTCAATAAATGGATCATATTTTAACTTGATATTTGATTTAGGATTTCTACCATTACGACAACGTGTAAGCGACACAGTACTAATTTTGGGCGCTGTGGGGATGCAAATCCTTCCCCGCGTGTAACCGACTCCCGAACCCGTTTAAATCGAATCTTTGGTAAACGCAGATCAATTTTTGTCTTAAAAAATAATTTTTCTTAAAATTATTTTTAAAAGACGTTTTTAGGTATTCGACCTACCTAACCCAAAGGTTGATGGCGACTCTATCCAATTTTATCAAATTTAATTCAAAATCACCAATTTTTTAAAATTAAAAAAGTCGTAACTGTTTTTAAAACAATAAATAATTGTCCCACCTAAAAACGATTATGACATCTATATATTAATAGTTCGTATTATATTTGTATATGATTAATCGAGACCACAAGGTTAAGAGCCTTCCGTTCTACCGACTGAGCTAGACGGGCAACTTGTAGATATTTCTCATATAAATCTATATCATTACAAATATAACGTAAATCACTAGTATGTTTAAATCTTAGAATTAGAGGTGTATCTGGTTTGGTTCGGTTTTCACTAAAATATGAATTGTCCTTTGTTAGTTTTTGAAAATCAGAACATGGTTCGGTTCGGTTTTCACTAAAATATGAAATGTCCTTTGTTAGTTTTTGAAAATGAGAACTGAAATCGAAATCAAATGGTATAAAATTCACGGTTTTCGGTTCGGTTCAGTTTGGCGGTTTTTGACTGTTCGTTATCTTTCAAACTCAAATTCGAGAAAAACAAATTTTCAACTTAAATGGAGTGCAAATATATAAATTTAAATTTATAAAAAATATTAATAGTTTTAATATTTTATTTATTTAAATTTATCTTATAATAAATTCAAAATAAATGTGTTTTGGATACTTAATTTTTTATATTTTTAATTAGATTCAAACGGTTTTTATATGATAAAACCGAATTGAATTAGATATTTATTTTTTTTAAAACCGAACTGAAATCAAACGGTAAATTAAATAATCCAAATCGAATCAAATCAAATAATCTGATTCAATCCATTTTTTTATTTTTTTTTTCAGTTTTATTGCTCAGTCCTAGTTATAACGAACAAAACTAAGAAAATTAAAGCGTACGCTCACCGTGGAGCTTGATACGCTCGGCAGTTAAGTTAGACGGACAATTTGTCAATGACACTCAGCAGATTCTACATCAACCATGACAACTGTAATGTAAGTAATTAAGAGTAAATTTTAAATATGGTCATTAAATTTTCTTAAAATAACAATTTTTACACTATATTATAAAATAAACATTAAATCTTGACTTTGTTATAAAATAGACATCATACTGTTAGTTGTCATTAATTATCGTTAAAGCGACAACATAACATATTAAAAATGAATGAATAATATATTATCAAAATTTTCTTTCAAATAAATACAATCATAAACAAAACCATATTCGATAACGATTTAACACGTTATAAAGTTAAAATAAATTCCGAAGAGAATACGCATATAATTTATATAAAATGAAACTGAAATCTTGAACCTCAAATTTTTTTTAGAGTCATCATTAGCATTAAACCAAACCCGAATACATATTTATTAACAGTTTGATCCAATGTTTTTTTTTATTAAACTGAACTCTTCATTACCGATTAAATTTATTATTTTCAAGTGCAATTTATACAATGTTACTTTTTTTGTAAAGTAAATGCCGAAATATATTTATTTATAGAATTACAACAAGTGCCAGCTCTATCCCAACGGAAACGAGAAGATAAGCAACACCAAATAAAACCAGAACTGAAAAAAGTTAAAACTTACAAAAAATTAGAGAATCTAAATCCCTAATCCGGCTGCTCTTCTCCTTGTCCCTTTTGCTGAGATGGTTTTATGAAAGCATCGCGAGGAGATGTCAACAAAGTAAAATAATGGAGCATGTTCGTGCTTCCCTGTCTTCTGGATCTGACTCATGGTGGATTGAGCCATCGTCTGTCATCAGATGCTTGCCTTGCTGCTCTATTTGGTAATTCCTCTACCCAGTGTCTTTATCGTCCAAAGTCGGATCTGTGGCCAGTATGTGCGCCACCCTTTTTCCTCTGCGTGGAGTGTATCTGTACTCGCATGTAACCAACTGTAGTGCTCTGTTTTTTATTTCTCAGATTAGCGCACTGATCTCAGAATGGTCTGGTTTTCTTGATGTTAGCTTTGTGTTAAAAGAATAATGCCTCACACACTTTATTTTCCTTTTACACTTTTTTAATTTATAATATAATGTTCATGTAATTATACAAGAATTAAACTTCTAACTACTTCTAACAGTCTACCAACTAATTCCTAAAAAACTAACTAACATTTACTATCTCAACACTCCCCCTCAAGTTGGTGGGTGAAAGATATATGAAACCTAGTGCTGCAAAGTGCCAAGTGCTTTAGTCAAGACATCTGCAAGTTGCTCCTTTGAAGGTATATGTTAACTATGATAAATTCTTCTTGAATTTTGTCTCTAACAAAATGACAATCAATTTCGATATGCTTCGTTCTTTCATGAAAGACAGGATTAGAAGCAATCTGTAATGATGTTTTACTGTCACAGAACAGCTTAGCAGGTTGATCCTGTTTCACTCCAAGTTCATTCAACAATCCACTTAGCCAAATCAACTCTGCTGTAATCATAGCCATACATCTGTACTCAGCTTCTGCTGAAGAACGAGCCACTGTGTTCTGTTTTTCCGACTTCCATGAGATCAAGGAATTCCCAAGTTTTATGCAGTATCTTGTTACTGATTTCCTTGATATTGGGCAAGTCACCCAATCAGAGTCACAAAAGGCAATTAAACCACATGTACTTGAAGAATCTAGCAAAATTCTTTACCCTGGATTCTTCTTAATATATCGTACAACTCTCAAGGCTTCTTCTATATGCACTTTTCCAGGCTGATACATAAATTGACTTAGGTGCTAAACTGAATAAGCTATATCAGGCCTGGTGTGGGTTAAATATATGAGCCTGCCTATGAGTCTTTGGAATTGCGTCCTGTCTACCATGCCTTTTTCATTATGCTTTAAACACTTAGTATCTGAAGTAGCAAAGAAATTATTATTTTGCTCCAAAGGTGTTAAAGCAGGCCATGCTCCCCATGCCCCAATATCTTTTATTAATTCTAAAGCATATTTACGCTGGCTTAAGACAATTCCCTTCTCTGATCTCAAAACTTCGAGCCCAAGAAAATATCTTAACTCACCCAAGTCTTTCATCTTGAACTTAGAATTTAGTGTACACTTGAGCTCTTCTATCATATCAGTATCACTGCCAGTAATCAACAAATCATCTACATATACAAGCACATTGACCAACTTGTTTGCTACTCACCTTGTAAACATCGAGTAATCATTCTTACTTTGTTGAAATCTTGCTGATACAAGTGCTTCAGACATTTTCTTGTTCCATTTTCTGGAAGCTTGCTTGAGTCCATACAGAGACTTTTGCAGCTGACAAACCATATGCTCCCCTGGCTGAAAAAGCCTTCAGGTAATTGCATGTAGACTTCTTCAACTA